GCCTGTAATCCCAGCACTCGGGAGGCTGAGGCAGGAGGATCACTGGGAGTTCGAGGCCATCCTGGGCTACAAAGTGAATTCAAGACTAGGCAGAAACTGTACAGTGAGATCCTGTCTCAAAAAGACAAAAAAACAAAATAAAACCAGCAGAAAGTTCTGCCCTGTCAGGCTAGCCCAGCCCTAGTTCCAGTAGCCCAGCTCTCCCAGTTTCCTGATCTTCCACCCTTGATCCTATCCTTCCATGCCCCTACAGGTTCCTGCCTCCCGCCCAGGATGGTTTCGAGGTGCTGGGTGCTGCAGAGCTGGAGGCTGTGCGCGAGGCCTTTGAGACTGGTGGCTTGGAGGCTGCCCTGTCATGGGTGCGGGCAGGCCTGGAACGCCTGGGCAGCGCGCGGCTGGACCTGGCGGTGGCTGGTACAACCGATGTCAGCCTTGTGCTGGATACGCTGCTGGGGTTGGATCCTGGCGACCCAGGGGCCATGCCTGCCTTGGCACCCACGGGGCCCACCCCGTGGCCAGCCCCGGAGCGCCCCAATGTGGTGCTCTGGGCCGTGCCTCTGGGCTCCGAGGGCTCGTCCCCTGGTGCCACCCCTCACCCGAGCCACTACGACGCCCTCATCCTTGTCACTCCTGGAGCCCCCACGGAGAAGGACTGGGCCCAGGTCCGTGCCTTGGTGTCACCAGATGCGCCTCTTGTCTGCGTGCGAACAGACGGTAAGGGCGAAGATCCTGAGTCTCTGGAGGAAGGAGAAACTGTGGAGAGGCCCAGAGACCAGAGCTTGGGGAACACAGGCGAAGAAGGGGCAGTGGCAGAAGTGCCCAGCGAGGAGAAACGCGGCGCCGGGTCGCAGAAAGCGGGCGGCGGGGAAGGTTCAGAGACAGCTGGCGGCCAGAGCTTGCGGCAGGTGGTCGGCGCCCACACCCGGGGCAGCGGGGACCCAGGGCGCGCGGCTGCCCTGAGCCCAGAGGACGAGCCGTGGGAGGTGCTGGAGGAGGCGCCGCCGCCCGTGTTCCCCCTGCGGCCCAGCGGGC